TTAAGCTACTAATTAAATTGCGTGCACGCATTAACAACCAAAGCAGGCCTACAATTACCAGCCATATCCAGTGAAACCAAGAAAACCAGTTAGGCACCCTAGGCATTTGTGAAAACTTATCAATGATATGATGGATATTGTTTAACTGAATTTGAATAGTTTGAAAAAAATCAGACATTAAAACAACACATTCCTGGGAACTGTTCATATCCCATATGTTCTTTTAACAGTAGATAGTCTGTAGTCGCAAGATTTTGGAGCACTGCAACTTGCACTTCATGGTCATTCTTTAAGTTGAAGCTTATCAAGCATTCTTTTTGAGCTTAAATGTATCATACTTGCTCTAAAGAAGAACATAGTTTAAGTTTTTTATCTGACAGATGTGTAACTGAATTACTGATGCAGGAAGGTATGTTTTCATTTGGAAATGCAGGTGTCATAATTTTTAAACTTTATTATGAAAATAGAAACTGATACAAATAACTCCCATATAATCCTATAGGTATACCCATAGCCCTATTCAACAGATAATAACTTTTTGCTCCTAAATTACTTTTGGTTCTTCTGCGGCCTAAAATGGTGGTGTCCAAACTTTACCATTTTTTAGCAGTTAGAATGCTTTTTTTTTTTTTAAAAGGAAATCTTTTGGGGCATCCTGTCTTAGCAAACAGGTCAAATGAAAGCAGTGCTTGCTGACAGTGAAAGCGGACCTGGGGACCTGCTTTCTTCCCTTTGGTCTCCTCCCTGTGGCAGGCCCAGCACAGCATCAGCCACTGGAGTAAAGATGTGCCTGCAGGAACTGGTCACAGCAACCTTTGTTAGATGAGGCTTAAAAAGGAGGGATTATATTTTCCTATTATTAAGGAATATACTTATATCAACCTTGGAAAATACAGGAAGTTAGAAAAAAAATGGACTTAGTTTATTATGCAAGGATAGCTATAAACACGTATTTCTTTTCAGTAGTTTTGGACATTATGCATAAGTTAGTGTTTTTCTTTTAAAATATGATCAAGCTATATTTAGTTTTATACCCCTCCTTCTCACTTAACTATATAATAGGCTTTGGCTTGGTTTTTTTTTAGCTAACTGCACTTTCTTTGTATTTTTATGGGATGTAAAATAATCCATTAGGTAAATATGTCATAATTTACTTACCTATGGCCTTAGAATTCAGCATGTAGAATGGAGAAATTCCAAATGGCCAGAAGTGACCTGTGTCTCCTTGCTCCCTGATTAGATACGGACAGCTTTATGTTCTGTTCCTGAGGCATCACTCTCGGACCTCCAACAGTACCGGAGCGGAGGTAGTCCTCTATCATCTCCCACGGTATATTTACTGCTTTTTCCCCTCTTCTTCAGTTTTAAAATATGAACTAAAGCTTGTTGATCTATTTTTTGACCTTTCTGTTGTCCTACAGAGAAGGTCCCTGTAGAAAGGCGCACATATTAAAGTTGAATCGGACGGGGAAGTTCGCCCTAAACGTGGTGGATGACCTGGTGGTGGTTCATCATCAGGACACAGAGGTGTGAGCTGCGTGTGGGTGTCCAGTCTGTCAGTGTGGCTTAGGCGGCTTGTGAGGATTGACAGAGATTCTGAACAGAGGCTGAAAGTGCTTCTTATGCTGCAAGTTTTGGTTTTCCAGGTGGAAATGGGTTTGGTATTTTAGATGGTTTAGGAAAAACAGTGATTCCCTATTCATTGATTGAAGATAATTAAAAACGATTCCCGAAAATAACATGTGAGGAAATTTGACTTTGAAACAGTTGTTTGGTTGCATCAGCTATGCTGGGAATGCACTGCAGAGCCACAGTCATCCTGAGCACGAGCTCTGTGCTTCCTTTGTGAATAATGCTGGATGAGGGTGGTTTGCAGGCTTTATGGCCCAAGAGAAAGAACTAGGGTGGATCCTGCTTCTCTGACACTGTTAGCTGGGTATCTGGTGGCCGACCAGCCGCTTCCCTCCCCTGCCTCCTGAAGGGTGGGGGTACCCGCATCTCTGCTAATGAAGATGTTGCCAGATAAAGTGAGAAGTTGCTGCTTGCATTACTAGAGCTCTTTGAATGAAGGATGTCATGAATGCAGGGGATAAATGTAGATGAGAGGCGTGTCTCACAGCCAGCTCCTCCTCAAATAGGAAGTAACCTGCGGGATGGGATGCAAACACAGACCCTTAGTGGGTTGGGAATAGCAGCATGTGCGGTAATGAAGGGGTCGGGCCAAGCTGTGGCTGGTTTCAGCATTGAGCCTTCTCCACCGTAGACCTCGGTAATATTTGACATCAAGCTAAGGGGGGAGTCTGACGGCACCGTGACTTTCCATCACCCAGTGCTTCCAGCTCGATCGATTCAGCCCTATCAGCTCCCCACAGCAGGTAAGTGGGAATCACTGTATAGAGGGTGGGTGACAGGTGCTACCAAGCTTCCCAGATCTCTCTGTTTTTGCAAGAGGTGATTTTATTTTTTTTAAATGAAACTCCTGATTTGTTAGCTAAAACTGTTGTGAAAAGCATTTTATAAGATAAATGAATTGTTCTTCGACGAAAATAGAATGATTTCTCTTTTCTGAGCTTTAAAATGGAGAGTCAGGACCACCCATTGAAGCCAGAAGATTTTTTTAATGTTGAATAAGCCCTTTCTGTGTGCCCACACTCTATAACTCTAGGATTACATGTGGCTGCCTAAGGCTGGCATTTGAACCTGGTATCCCTTCCCGCATCTTTCTCACGTCTCGTGTCAGTTACAGTTGGCTCTGCCCGATGGCCGGTGCATGTGTGTGGCTCCGGTTCCCAGGTCATTCAGGGCAGTCCTCCTACCTGCACGGGGGCCACAGGAGTCAGAGAAGAGGCGGTCAGGAGCTCAGGAGAGGGGAAAGAAGCCGTGTGGCTGCTGTGGCCTTCTCCCAGTGTAATCAGTTTCAAGCTAGAACTCAAATACTGTTCAACTCTCTCTCAAAGGAGATTGGAGTGTACAGTAAGTTGAAGCTTCAGTGTGTAAACCAGAGTCAGAGGGGACACAGCTGGACCTTCAGTAACAATGTTTTCTTAAAAGGAATACCTGTCAGATAGCTTTGGTGGGTCAGCCCCACACAGTCAGGATGTCCTTGAACCTACAGAGAAGATTCAGGCCAGGCTCCAGCTGATCTTCAGCAAGAGCACTGTCCCGAGCCTGCCTGCACAGCCTTGCTGGATCAGCCAAAAGCTTGGTAACTGGCAGGGCTGGTGGGGCAGGAGCTTGTTCTCACATTTTATTAGGTCTTCTGTCCCAGGTTCCTTCCAGCTTCTTTCCATCCAGGGATAATAATGTTAGCATTAAAAGAATACATTGTGTCAAATGATTATCTTGTATGCTGGCCAGTTGGCATGAAGATAATGGCTGGTAAATTGGGAAAAAAACTAAACATTTAAAGCCTTCAGCTCTGTTCCAGTTGTTTGCAACCAGTTAGAAGGCAGTCAAGTTCTAACGGGCTAGTGGTATTAAGACAGATGCTGGGTGTGGCCCTAGTAATAGCCCAGACACAGAGTAAAAAGAATTCAAGAATCCATCGAATCTCTGAGCTTCTAGCCTGTGGGTTGGTAAAGTGTGTTTGTAGTTGATGACTTTTGTTTGTCCTGCTGGATTGAAAGCCCCTTGCAGGCTGGTGGCAGCTTCGTCTGTTGTCCAGCCTGGGCTGTCGTGGGAGGCGTGGTCAGGATGAGCTTGCTGTGCTATTCGGAAAGATGAGACCAGCAACTTGGGGAGGAGCTGGTGGACCCTCATTTCCCCTCCTGGTTTTGGTCTGTTGGGCCAGTGGTTCTCCATATGACTACACGTTAGGATCAGATGGGGGACTTTAAAACCCAAAGTCCCTTGGCTCTCACCTGGGGGCATCTAAGTCCTCATGGTGGGCAGCTGGCCTGAGACCATAAGACGGCCTTCCCTCTTAGATTCCAAATGCAAGTGTTCTTTGCTTTGTTTATCTGATTTTAGCTTGTCTGACAGGCCCTTTTCCTTTTTGGGGTTGTCTGTTAAAAATTACCTTTTTCAACCAGTTGATTAACACCTGTCTTCTGATTGTACCCGGGTAATTGGAACAGAACCGGGAATCGCATCTAGTTTGCAGGACTGCATTTTTGAAGTTCACGTGGGCTGCCCACCTGACACCCAAGCAGTGTAACTGGTGGTTAGAAGTCCCTGTTGTGGGAGGTGTTTGGGGCTCAGCTTCCCAGATGAGATCTCTGTGCCTGGACATGCTCTGTGCACTGGAGAGTTGAGCTAATAGATAACTAAGCCACAAAACAGTTTGATTTGAAGTATTCTCAGTGAATTATCTTCGTTTTTGATGTTGAATCACCCAGGTAATTTCTCAGCTCCTCAGCGTGCGTCATTCGCGACTCATCTTTGGTGATGACAAAAGGAAACACTGAGTGAAGCCTTGACATGCTTTTCCCCTTCTCGGGAAGACAGTTTTGTGGATTGTTCTTGGCTTCCCCCCTCCTCCTCACGTGGGTTATGAGCGGAACCTAACAGTTCACTTCTTGCTTATTTAACTACAGTTGAATAAACATTTACTGACGGCTTTAGAAAGTATTAATTTTGCATCAGAGGCCCTGATGTTGGCAGCATTTCCGTGTTGTGTTTTCAGGCCTCACACACTGCGCTCTCTCCACCTGCACGTAGGTCCTGCCCCGGTGGCCAGCCAGTCTCCTGTCCCGTGTAAACTCTGTATCCTTTGCAAAGGCGTTGGTGCTGTGCACAGAAGGGAAGCTGTCACCCCCGTGTTACCCTGGAGCCTGCGAATGGCCCTGCAGCCCCCTGCGGCAGCCAGGCAGCCAAGAGTAACGTGGGCGCTCTGTGTGGGAATGTTGGCTTCCCGCTGCGGGTGCGGGCCCTT